CGGAGTACCGTACCCTAGAGGAAACTGCATATACACTTCTTCATCCAAATCACCATGATAAAAGGCATTATGAACATCTATCTGATGTAACTCCCAATTCAAAGATACAACAACAACTAACAAAATACATACCGTACCCATCTTTGCAACAAGAGAAAACGTCTCATTACAATTAACACCTTCAACCTGTCGGTTGCCATGAACAAGTTAACAAGCCTTGAGACGTTCCACCTTTGATTTGTTGGTGTACTTGGTCTTGTACACCCAACCACTTTCAATATCCCACTTGCCGGGAGGATGATCCTCAACGGTCCATGTGCCATTATGCTCTTAAGCGTCGATCTCATCTTGCATTGCCTTATGCTATCCGACATTTTTAACCGCCTCTTTGAATGAAAATGGTTCCTTTCCCTTAGTGATAGTCGCTTGAAAACACCTATGTCTCATAGAAAAACGATTATAATCAACATGACAAGCTATAGGGAAAGGTTTACCTGAGGAATGTGATTGAGGAGGGACGATAGTTGATGTAGCGGGGCTTATATTTTCAGTGATGATTGTATGAGTAATGTAGGGAATAACTTCAAGCATCCCAAACTTGAACCTCACTGTGATTATACACTTAAGCATGGTGGCGACGTGACGTTCAAAGGGAAGAAAGCTAGAGCAAAAGAGTCGCCAACAAGTTTTAGGAACTTGTAAACCGTTCACAAGGTGAAGGTTACACCCCTTCACGATCCATGAGATCGCTAACTCCATAGGGGTCTGGAACTATGACTAGATATTCGGGGATGAAGGTACGAATCCAACCTAAAAGAGATTGAACCCTCCCTATGATAGGCCTCTACTTTATTCTTCTCATATTCATGTGCGTTTTTGGACTAACATACAATCATTAGGTTAGCCATAAACCTGTTTAATCTATGTTTGTTGAATATTAATGCACAAGTAAAACTATTATTGGCGATCACTTGAATTAAAATCATATTAGCCTAAACTAAATTACACTAGTAGAAAAAGGCTCATTTGCATCGCCATATTTGCGTCACTCATTCTAAAGAACGAAGCAAATGTGTATTTTTACCATACTTTAAAGTTATTTGCGCCGCTTGTTATTAAAGAAGCGACGCAAAAAACAAATGTATGTTAGCTTTCTATCATTTGCGTCGCTCTTATTTATTAAAGCGACGCAAATAAGTTTATTATTTGCGTCACTCATTTACTGACAAGCGACGTAAATAAGGCAGTGAATAAATTGCGTCACTCTTTTAATAAATGAGCGACGCAAATAACAAATTTTCAGCATTTCAGATTTTGTTATTTGCGTCGCATTTTTATTATAAAGTGACGCAAATAACTCTGCTTTAGGTTACCCATTCTGCGCTTTTTTTACCTTAGCTTTTCACTTTCACTAATTCACTAAACAGAGTTGCTTAATTTCGACCCTTCAATCCAACAAATTCGCCCAAAAAACACCCACAAATTCGCCCAAAAAACTGCAATTCCCCAGCAAATTCAACATCCAAAATCGCAATCAAGTTCAACACCCATAATCGGCAGCAAATCCGAGCAATTTCGAGCAAAAATTTAGACCAAAAACCCTAATTAATTCGAACCCTTAAACCCCAGAAAAATTGATTATTTTCGACCAAAAATCCCCCATTTCGAGCAAAAAATGTACTCAATTCCATACGAATTCGAACCCTAGAAACCCCAAAAAATTCAATTAAAAATCCTGTTGAAAAAATTCGAGCAATATCTGATATTTTCGAGTGGAAAAATCGCTTAATTTCGCCCCCAAAAACCCAAGGAAGTTCAAGCAAATTACATCAATGTTGAATTTTTTGAATTTTCGAGTGGAAAAATCGCTTAATTTCGCCCCCAAAAATCGATTTCGGCTCGACATTGTTGAATTTTAGAAATCAATTTCACCTATGGTAAGATTGCTTCTATTTATGTTCAATCTTTTCATGGTAGATAGAATGTAGCATTTAACTTGAACAATGACTTAGTTTAATTTCAGGTTTAGTGTTAGTTCACTAATTGGAATTTATATGGCAGATTTAATTGAATTTTTATAATTTTCAGTCATTGAATTTTCATTTGAGCATATTGCATACTTGTGAATTTCAGTCATTGAATTTTTGAAGTCAATTTTCATCTGAGCATATTGCATAGTCATTGAATTTATATGGCTGTTTTGCAATATTTTACTGGTTACTTGTTTGCATCTTTGAACAGTCTGTAGAATAGCATAGTCATTTGAGCATATTGCATAGTCCCTGAAAACGGATATGTACCATACCGGCATACCCAAGCCTAAATAGCATAGTCAATAACGCATGAATAAATTGTTAACTTTGCAATTTAAGCCAGTAGTAACTTTTAAAAACTAAAAAACCGAGAAGGCGTTGCATGATAAGCCAGGCCTCTAGCTTATGTCCTAATAGAGAAGTGATATTGTAATTGGAATTCTAGGCTTAATCATCTGGGATCTTTTCAATATTATGTACGGTATAATTATGGAGCAAATATTGAACTTTTCCTCTTTGGGTCTTTGACCTTTAGAAGTAGGCGGATACTTGTGAAGGTATCACAGCCTCACAGGTTATGTACTCAGCCTTAGTTTTTCTCTGGCGTGTAGGAAATTGTCTTTTACTTTCTCTATGTAGTTTAGTTAAGTAAGGAGCTTATTATTACTTCATGTTATTGGCGTAGGAGTGCAGTTAACTTGACATAGTTGTTCACCTGCAAAGCCTGCTTTTATGCGATCTGTTCTTCCACCCAGTGAAATACTATTGCACTGTTCAAAGCCTGGATACAATTTGCGGTAAAAGTTTTTTGGGGCTTTTTTTTTTGAAATACCATGGTTTCTTTGAAGTTTCAAACTTCAAACTAAAGTAATTTAATAGATTGTGTTCTTTTACTATGGATAATTGTTAGTGCTCCATTTGTTCTGCAAATTTGTTTGCATTTAGTCTGTAGATTTTTACAGTTGCTGTTTTGCAATATACTACTGGTTGACATCTATGATTCTTTGAATGTCTTATTAAAATTATTTTTTATCATTTAATTTTTTTGTAGGCATCATCATAATGGGCGATGGGAAGCACGAATTGGGTGCGTTTATGAGAACAAGTACCTCTACTTAGGCACTTTTAGTAATGTCCTGAACTCTATTTCTCTCGTGCTCGCTCTTGTTCTATGAGATTTAGGATCACGAGCACACACACAAATACATGGTCAGACAAAGTGATTATCATAATCACAGGGACAAAGATACTTAATATTTGGACTGTCCCTTTTGGTTTGGTCACTTTCTGTGATCATCATATATAGTATATGTTGTATGTATTCCTGTCCACTATAAACAATAAGATATAAAGGAAAGGGGGTGAGTACGGTACCAGTAGATCTGCCATTAATTAAAAAATTGCTCCTACGGACTCACATGGCGTCACGTGAGTCAAATATTGTGAATACCTCTTAGGAATGGGTTGCTTGATCTGATTTTATGAAGAAAATTATTAGTATGATTAATTAATTAGGTAAGGTTTTGGTGAAAATTATGATCCACTAAGATTCCTGCTCTTTGCTTGAACCCCGTCACACCTGACTATTACATATGCAGTTATGCACCCCCACCTTTACTTATAAAGATATGTAATAAACTCAAATTTGATCAGAAAAGAAAACAAAAAGAGGATTAAAGAATAGAATGAATGCCGAATAACAACTTTTATGTCACATGGCAGATTAAGTTGAATCAACTATGTTGGTTTAATATATGTAATTTTTTATGGCAGATTCTTAATTATGCGGAAGTGAATTCCACAAGTTGCTCGAGGTTCTGGTTGTGGACAAACGATTAAGGCGGTAGTACGCATACGAGATTGTATTCACTTGTGGTATATATATCTGAACCATTCTTTGCAATATTAACTTATTTGTTCTGGTTGGTATAATGATTGTGAATTGTATGAGATTTTTAATTGTGATATAATTGATTGGAATTGCAATAATACTTGCATCATTGACTTAGATACCCGTTCAGGGCTTACTCATTAGGAGTAAGTCTTGAATAGTCCCCGGTTTGGGACTGTTCTTGAATGTTCTATCTCATTTAGGTGATAACTACTTGAATTGTTTTGGATCTAAGAAGATCATGGTTCACTATTTCCCGATTGTTCTCTGGGTACATATGTTGATAGCCGATTATCTACATTGTGTGCTTGGAGAACTATAGGGAAATGCTGCCGGATTTTCTTTAGAACCAAACTTTACAAGTAGTTATTAGTGAGATAGGACATTCAAGAATAGGTTAGGTTGGAGTGATAAGGACCTTATTGGATCATCCGGAGTTGCATTTTACATGATATAAACTTTGAATGAAAATGTTTGATGCCTTATATTCTTGTTTATGGTTAAGGAGCTATATATGTTACAAAATATACACATTATCTTAAAATTAATTTTGTTATTCAGTGGTTGAAAATGGATCGAAGTTGGATGTATGGTAAACGAAATTGTACAAGTTTTTTACGAGGAATTGAAGAGTTTAGACTGTTGCCTTAAAACACCAAACAGAGAATAAATCAAAGAATATTCTTTGTCTTTGTTGTGACTGTAATAATTCGAGGGGATATCGTGATATAGTTGATATTAAAGATCATCTAATTCGTCATGGGTTTAAAGAAAACTACACGAGGTGGACATGGCATGGTGAGAGCATATATATTGAGGCAAGTTCTATTTATTGTCCAAGGGAAGATGAGAATCATTGTGATGATGATAATGACCCCCAAGGTGAGGATATCGATACAGCTGATGATATTGGTGTTGAAAGTGAGAGTGAAGTGGAGAAGGACAGGATAGATGAAATGATGCAAGATGTTGAAGACCATTTCACAGAGTGTCCCTAGACATATGATAGTATTTTGAGAGCTGCTAAAACCCCATTATATCCTGGTTGTACAAAGTTCACTAAACTTGGTGCTATTATGAAGTTATTCAACTTAAAGGCGAGCAATTGTTGGACTGACAAGGGTTTTACGCAGTTGTTAGAAGCCTTAGTAGAAATGTTTCCCGACGGGAATGAACTTCCAAACTCCACCTATGAGGCCAAGAAACTTATGTGCCCCTTGGGTATGGAGTATGAGAAGATACATGCTTGTCCCAATGACTGTGTGTTGTATCGAAATGAGTATGCTGATTTGCATGAGTGTCCAAGGTGTGGAGTTTCTCGTTACAAGATGAATGATACTGGTGAGATGTGTAAGAAAGGGTCTCCGGCTAAGGTATTATGGTATCTTCCAATTATACCGAGATTTAGGAGACTCTTCTCGGATGAAAAAAATGCAAAATTATTGAGGTGGCATGCTGATGGGAGGAAGAAAGATGGGTTAATGAGGCATCCTGCTGATTCCCCGCAATGGAGGAACATTGACCGAAAGTTTAAGGACTTTGGTGAAGAAGATCGAAATCTTAGGCTTGGTCTTAGTACAGATGGAATGAACCCATTTGGGACACTAAGTACCCAATATAGCACCTGGCCGGTTCTACTAACTATCTACAATTTGCCTCCTTGGTTATGCATGAAGTCTAGATACATTATGTTTTCCCTTCTAATATCTGGGCCTAAACAACCTGGAAATGACATTGATGTGTATCTAGCGCCTCTCATTGAAGATTTGAAATTGTTGTGGAATGAAGGTGTCCAAATGTTTGATGCATATAGTAAAACCAATTTCACTTTACGTGCCATGATTTTTTGTACGATAAATGACTTCTCAGCTTATGGGAATTTGTCGGGGTACACTGTGAAGGGAAGAACTCCTTGCCCCATTTGTGAAGATGATTTGGAGGCATTGTGCCTAGACAATTGTGGCAAGCAAGTATACATGGATAATCGAAGACATCTTCCAGAAGACCACCCTTTTCGATTCAATAAGGGGTCTTTTAATGGAAAAGTGGAGTTGAGAGAAGCTCGTGGCCCTTTACGTGCAAGTGTGGTTTATCAGCGGGTCAAAGATATTGAGAATGAGTTTGGTAAGCCTTACAAAAGCAAATCAACTCGGGGTTACAAGAAGAAGTCTGAGCTATGGTCTCTTCCATATTGGAGACATTTGGAAGTTAGACATTGTCTAGATGTAATGCATATTGAGAAAAATATATGTGATGCCATCGTGGGAACTTTATTAAACATGCCAGGAAAGACAAAGGATGGAGTTAAAGTAAGAAAAGACATGGCTGCTATGGGTCGTTCAGAGTTGGCACCCGAATCTCGAGGAAAACGCTGGTATCTTCCCCCAGCTTGCTTTACCTTGTCTAAAAAGGAAAAAATTAGCTTCTGTGATTCATTGCATGGTTTAAAGGTCCCGGCTGGATTTTCTTCTAATTTTCGTAGACTTGTGTCAATGTCTGACTTGAAATTGGGTGGCATGAAATCTCATGATTGTCATGTCTTGATGCAACAATTATTACCAGTTGCCATTTGAGGAATTTTTCCACCTCAAGTGAGGTATACAATTACAAGATTATGTGTCTTTTTTAACACTATCTGTAGCAAGGTCATAAATCCAAGTATTTTAGATGACTTGCAAGCAGATATACTTGAGACAATGTGTCGATTTGAAATGTATTTTCCCCCATCTTTTTTTGACGTGATGCCTCATTTGGTTATTCATCTTGTACGTGAAATTAAACTTTGTGGACCAGTGTGTATGAGATACATGTATCCTTTTGAACGAGAAATGGGTGACTTAAAAAGAAAAGTCATGAATCCGGCCAAACCTGAAGCTAGTATTGTACAACGAACAGTTGTTGAGGAAGTGGCAGCATGGGTTGCTCAATTTCTTGCACGTTCACAGAAAATTGGGTTGCCAAAGTCTCGACACGATGGGAGGCTTGGAGGTCAAGGTACTATTGGCAGGAAAAGGATATCCATGGGCTTTGAAATGAAAAATAAGGCCGAGCTTTTTGTGTTGCAAAATCTTAGTGAGGTTCATCCTTACTTGGACGAGCACATGCTTTTTCTTAAAAAAATAAAAATCCTTCCAAAAGTGATCTTCAGCTGATAAAGGAGCATAATTGTTCATTCGTTACATGGTTCAAGGAACGAGTGATGTCCCAACTATCCACCACACCTAACGATATATCTGACACATTGAGATGGTTGGCATATGGTACTAAATGTCAAGTCATGTCATATGAGGGATACGACATCAATGGGTATTCTTTTTACACTAGCCGACAAGATGACAAGTCAACAATGCAAAACAGTGGTGTTAAAGTAGTAGGTTTGTCATCTGAGTATGTTAGTGCACATGATAAAACACTTGTGGATAAGAAGAAATTTTATTATGGAATCATTGAAGAAATAATAGAGGTGGATTATGTTGATTTCAAGATTCCTCTATTTCGATGTAAGTGGGCTGATAGTAGTCGTGGCGTAAAAAAAGATGAACAAGGGAACTTGACCCTTGTAAATCTTGGTCGACGAGGGCATCTAGCTGATCCATTTATACTAGCTTCACAAGGAAAACAAGTTTTTTACATGGCTGACCCAGCTGATTGTAAGTGGTCAGTTGTTTTAGAAGGTAAAAGAAGGATACTTGACATTGAAGATGTGGTGGACGAGGAAGAATATGATGAGCAATTTAATGAGTCACCACCTTCCGTTTGGAGCATCCCTCCTGTTTGGGGTAAAAATACCCTAAACACGTGGCCCAATGGCCTAGTGACACGTGGCATCCAGCCGTTGGTCAGCAGGGCTCCAATCCTCTGCTGACACGTGTCCTCTAAACCCTAAAAGGGAAACCATCCCTTCCCCACTATAAATAGTGGAAGGACCCTCATTAATGGGAGGCTGGAACATTTGTTGTTCACATTGAATACTCCTCAAAAAGAAAAACACTTACCCCGAGCAATATTAATTGCAGAATTCTCCCATTACGCGAGAAGTAACTTCTACATTGCGTGCATTCTACCTCCCGTATCTTTACTAACTTGATCGTCGGAGGCGGAGCTCCTACCCCCAGGAGTCTTCGTGATTTTGCAGGCACAGGCGTCGAAGGGCATTCTTGGAATTGTAACTCTCCCGCAGGACACATCAAAAAACCCCGAAACATTTGGCGCCGTCTGTGGGGAGAGTACTTCTAAGATGACTTCTGATACTGTGTCACCGAATCAGGGCAAACGACCTGTGGTCGAGCCTGAGGTCCAGACGAACCATGAAAGTGGAGGCGAAATTGAAACATATGTGGCCCCGGATGGGTCTTTCAGAACGAAGCACCCTCGTGCTAAAGATAGAAGAGAACGGGAAATCAGCCAAGCTGCTCCCAGCAACCCAGCCGGGCAACCGGCTGGAATTGCCCAAACGGTGGAGGGCTCAGCCCCTGTTACAAGAAACGAACTCATGTCTTTCATGAATAGTTTCAAGGGTGAGATCAAGAGCCTCATCCGGTCAGCTACTCCAAAGAAGGGTCAGCCGGCCAAGAAGCCTTCTGGAAAGAAGGCGGTCAAAGAACGAGTTCCTACCCCTCATCCCAAGCCAAAGGAGGGGGAGGGCTTAAGGTTTGATCCAAGCAGACTCCGTTTTCCTCAAGGGGAGCTGCGAAAGGCCATCCGGCACGTACAGCCGGATGGCTCCAAGAAAACATTCTCAGACGCCCGCACATTTCTCCAAGAGAAGCGAGGTCAGGCGTCTGCGTCGGCCTCAACGTCGACCTTCCCGGACAGTTTCCATGACGTCTCACACAGGCGTACGGGAACGAACCTTGGGAGACAGACGGGCGAAGCTTCTGCCCGGTCTGGACCCAAAGTGATCCAGCCTGGCCTATTCGGCACACCGAATGGGTTGGGTGGATCCCCTTTTATGTCACCGGGTCTTTTCGGTGGGCAAGCGCAGCAGCCGTTCCAACCCACGGACTGGCAGCTGCGCCTGCTAAATTTGGGGGAACAGCCAACGACGTTCTCACCAGAGATAACCCAGGCGGCACAGCCGCCTAAGATCAAGAATGTTTTGGTGGGGGCCTATGACGACACCACCAACCCAGAAGACCATCTAATGGCCTACTCTAACCTCATGTACCTCCAGGGGTTAGATGATGCCGTCTGGTGTCGATGCTTCCCGGCTACCCTCAAGGGCATAGCCCAGCGGTGGTTTGGTAACCTACCAGCCGGTTGCATCAACAGCTTTCGAACTTTGGCGTACTTGTTTACGTCAAATTTCTCAATGAATATTCCTGCCAAAAAGACTAGCCTCGACCTAGGGGCAATACAGCAGGGCGACCGGGAGGGCCTCCGGTCATACGTCAGACGGTTCAATCTGATGAGAATTCAGATTCCAGGACTATGAGACGAAGTGGCCTATACAGACTTCTTTCGAGGTCTGAAGGATGGGTCGACCTTTAAGTTTGACCTCGTCCGGAAGAGGGTTGCTACCCTCCAAGATGCGTTAATTGAAGCTGAAGCCTATATACAGGCGACGGAGCTTTGTGCTGTCAAGCAGCCGTCAGATTATAAAAAGTCTGACAAAAAAGAGAGCCGGCAACAGCATCAGCCGGCAAGAAAGGAAGAAAAGAGAAAAGGGGTCTGGGCAGCTGACCGATCAGGACAGCCGGCCCAGTAAATCAGGCGGAAGTCAGAATCGTATGCTCCCAAATACGAGTTCGCAAAAGATTGCTCCACCATCCTCCTGGAAATCAAAGACCGGATGTCTCTCGACAAACCGGCTGAAATGAAAAGCCCCGTGAATAAACGGGACAAGAGCAAGTATTGCCAATACCACGAGGATGTCGGCCACGACACCGATGGCTGCTATAGCCTCAGGCGGCTATTGGACCGTCTGGCAGATGAGGGGGCCCTAAAATCCTACCTACCCAAGGCTAAGGGTAATACCCAGGCCAAGAAAGGGCAGGCGGCAAAAACCGGCCCAGCAAACTCCGAGACGGATGAAGAGACCATCTTCACAATAGCAGGCGGTTTTGCCGGAGGGGGTCCTACCATTCGGGGCACCAAAGACAACATCAGGAAGCTGGTCAACTCAGTGGATGAGGGCCAGGCGTCGAAAGACATCTTTCCTGAGGTCCTTATTTCTGAAAAGGACCGGGGCAAGGTCAGGCGGCCTCATGATGACCCCATCGTCATCGAATGCAAGGTTGCAAACCAGAAGGTTGGCCGAATCCTAATAGACACCGGGAGCTCGTCTGACCTAATCAGTTATCAGTGCTTGACCAAGCTCAAGTACACATCCGGTAACATGCACCAGGCTCTTCACCCACTAGTCGGTTTTGGGGGTGGAGTAGTGCATCCGGTCGGAAGCATAGATCTTCCGATCCGGCTGGGTGAAAAGGGGCAAGGACGCCACATGATAGTCAAGTTTTTAGTTGTGGAGGAGCTGTCCGCCTACAACATGATATTTGGCCGTCCTACCCTCAACGCATCTAAGGCTGTCATCATCCCGTCCCTCATGTTGGTCAAATTTCAAAAGGATGATGGTACAGTCGGTGCCCTAAGCGGGGACCAGAAGACGGCAAGAGAGTGCTATCTCTCTGACGTCAAGACAACTATGGGTGCAGCCGGCCAGGGCGAGCCCATAGAAATTGATAACTGCGACCCAGCAGTCCCGGCTCCAAGGGCAGCCGGTATGAAAGAAAAGGCGGACCAACTGGCACCCGTCAAAAAGGAGAAATAGCAATCACTAGCCGGGGAAAGGTCAGATGACCAACGACCTCAGCCGGCTGGTGACTGCCTTGATGTCATCCTAGATGACAGCCGTCCTGAAAGAACAGTCAAGGTCGGGACGGTAGCCTTCGAACGGTTGGGAGAAGGCTTGCTCCAGCTGCTGAAGGAATTCAAAGACATCTTTGCCTTTGAAGTGGAAGAGATGCCAGGCGTCAGCCCGGATCTTGCTGTCCACAAGCTAGCCGTAGATCCCAAAAAGCAGCCGGTTAGGCAGAAAAAGAGGGATCATGGTGGAGAAAGATCTCAAGCGGCAGCGGCTGAGGTCAAAAAGCTGTTGGATGCTGGGTTCATTAGGCAATGCTACTACCCGGATTGGTTGGCAAATGTCGTTCTAGTAAAGAAGTCGAACGGTACTTGGCGGATGTGTGTGGATTACACAGATCTGAATAAAGCATGCCCAAAAGATAACTACCCGCTTCCAAAGATTGACAGCCTAGTCGACTCAACAGCCGGCCATGCGTTAATGAGCTTTATGGATGCTTATTCCGGCTTCCATCAAATACCTCTCTGGAAGAAAGATCAGGAGAAGACGGCTTTTGTCACTGATCAGGGGTTATTCTGCTATACGGTGATGCCGTTTGGGTTGAAGAATGCACCGGCTACATTCCAGCGCATGATAAACACCGTTTTTATCAACCAGATTGGCAGGAATGTAGAGGCGTATATCGATGACATGATAGTCAAATCCAAGCTACAGACGGATCACCTAGCAGACCTGCGAGAAACCTTCACCACACTCAGGCGGCACCGG